CAGGTCTTTGCTCAAAGTTCACCTCGATCAGGCCTTCCCTGACCCTACCCTCACTTTATTATGATTTTTCATAAAAATTGAAATGTTTCCATTTCAATTATTCATATTATGATTTTTCATAGTTTGATTGTTTAATTGCTATATATTTTTATTTAACTTTCTTTTTCTTGATTGCCTCCCCTTCCAGAATGTCAGCATCAGTAGGGCATGGATTTCTGTCTCTTGTGCTCATTGCTGTATCCTCAGACCTTAGAACCGGGACTGACACACAGTAGGGATCAATAAATATTTGTTGAGTGGAGGAAGAGAGAGTGAGGAGGAAGGAGGAGAAAAGGAGAGAGGAAGGAAGGAAGGAACACAGGGAAGGAGGAAGGTAAGAAGCTAACCCACATAAAGAAGTTTCCCAGATTAACAAAATGTGGTCCGTCCATACAGTGGAATATTATGCAGCCATAAAAAGGAAGGAAATTCTGACACCTGTTACGACATAGGTGAACCTTGAGGACATTATGCCAACTGAAATAAGCCAGACACTAAAAGACAAATTCTGTAAGATTCCACCTGGATGAGGCACCCAGAACAGTCAAGTTCGCAGGGAGAGGAAACAGAACAGTGGTGACCAGGGGCCAGGGTGAGGGAGAAGTGGGGAGCTAGGGTCTAACAGGGTGCAGAGCTCCAGTTTGGGGAGCTGGAAAGGTTCTGGAGATGATGGTGGGGACGGTTGCTCTACCACATGAACGGCCACGGAACTGGACACTAAAAATCATTAAAATGGTAAAGTTTTTGTTATGCATATTTTACCACAATAAAAAAGCAAATTAATTTTTTTTTTAAGTTTTGAACATAAAAGTAAAAATCAAAAAGAAGGACACAGCACCATGCCTGGCTGTGCCAAGCCCTCAACAACCCTGAGCGATTGGGGTTTTTTTCCCTCCCCAAAGCCCTAGGACGTGGTTGTGTATCCTGGTTGTAGGTCCTGCTAGTTCCTCTTTATGGGATGCTCCACAGCATGGCCTGAAGAGTGATGTGTAGGTCCACGCCCAGGATCCGAACCAGTGAACCCCGGGCTTCGGAAGAGGAGCACATGAACTTACCTACTATGCCACCAGGCCGTCCCATGAGCTACTGTATTTGTTCTTTCCTTTCTCATGACCGGTCCTCACTGGTCGCACACCTTTCTCCTTCCCCCGTGTCTAAGAGTGGGCTTTCTTCATCCACGGGGTCCTCCAGTCCATGCTGTTCTCCGCCCACCTCCCCAGCTTCCACTCCCACCAAAACCTTTCTCTCCAAAATCTCCAGCCTCCTTTCTGTCATTTTTCCCCAGTGGCCACCCAACTGTGTCGACCCACGCCACTTCCTCATTAAAAGTCGTGTCAACCTCCCAACACCGCTTTCTCCTGGCTTTCCTCCCAGCTCTTCAATCATCTCTTCTCAGCCCCCAGCCCCTAAACTGGGGGCCTTCCCTGGAGATCCCGGGCAGACGGCCCTGGTCTTCTCACTCTATGCAGCCTCTCCTGGTGGGCTCCACATGCTCTGCCTTCCAGGGTCTTCTGTGCTAGTCATGCCCCACCGTCGTTTCTAACCAGACCACTCTCCTAAGCTCCACACCTAGGTCTGCAGGGAGGACCCTAAGGGCTCTTCTCTCCCGTTTCGAATCACCCTCCGGGCCCTGCTTCCCCTGGCCACGTCTCCCTCCAGCCCTCTGAACTCTGTCACCATCCTCCTGCTGGAAGGTCTCTGCTCAGAGCCGCTTCCTTCCTTCCCACCCCCCACCACATTCCCTCCGTCCGCCTCGCCAACTCCTACATATCCGCAGCAGGCCCCGGCTTAAACATCCTGCCCTCCAGGAATACTTTCTCCACTCCTCGGGCTCCATTGGGCCCTTTGACATCCCTCATCAGAACACACATCCCTCAGGACCAAGTTTCCCATTGCCCATGGGCCTTTCTCGCCAGACCATGAGTTCCTTGAAGGCAAGTACTGTGGCCATGTGTTCATTCATTCATTCATTCACTCATCAGATATTTATTGAGGACCCACATCGTGGCAGACAACCGTGTGCTGACCAGGTGGGTGCAGTGGTGAGCAAGGTAGCCCAGAGTTTAGAGCCTGGCGGGAAGGGGATGAGTAACTTGGCAGGGACACTGTGGGGGCTTAGGGGCTGGGATGGGGAGCAGAGTGATAAGGCAGTTAACTGAGCCTCATTTGTAGCTGCATCTGCAGCCTTTTTCTTCAGCTCCCTCCGTTCACAGAGCCCTTCTGCTTAAGCAGAGCGTTCTTTGTAGGAAGAAGGCGACTCATGTCTCCCAAGGCCTTCCAGCTCAGCCGAGGGTCCCCACGAGTCCACCAAATAAGGCTTTCCGCTCAGATGGGGTGGGGAAGGGGGCGGCTTGTGTCTACCAGAAAATTCTGTTTTGTTATTAACTCTTTTTTTTTTAATCAATATTGAACTTATTTATTTACTTATTTTATTATTTTATTTTTTTTTGCTGAGGAAGATTGGCCCTGAGCTAACATCTGTGTCAGTCTTCCTCTATTTTGTCTGTGCATCACCGCCACGACATGGCCACCAACATGTGGAATAGGTCTGCACTGGGAACTGAACCCAGGCCACCAGCGCAGAGTGCCCCAAACTTAACCACCAGCGCAGAGTGCCCCAAACTTAACCACCAGCGCAGAGTGCCCCAAACTTAACCACCAGGCCACAGGGCCAGCACCTATTGTTAACTCTTTATTTTGAAATAATTATAAACTCACAGGAAGTTGCAAAATAGTCCTGAGAGTCCCAATACCCAGCACCCAGAGTCCCCCAGTGGTGACACCCTAGACAGCTGCAGTCCAACATGGGAACTGGGAAATTGTCGAGGGTACCACACGGTTAACTAGTGTCCGCTGTTCATGTGCATCTATTTGCCTTGTGCACGTATGTGTGTATGTGTGCACATGTGTTTCTATGTAATTTTATCCCATGCATAGATCTGTGTAACCACAATGGCATCAAGATATAAAACTGCACGGGGCCAGCTGGGTGGCCGAGTGGTTAAGTTCATGTGCTCTGCTTCAGTGGCCCAGGGTTCCCGGGTTCAGATCCTGGGTGCAGACCTACACATCACTCATCAAGCCATTCTGTGGAGGCGTCCTACATACCAAAAAGAGGAAGATGGGCACAAATGTTAGCTCAGGGCCAATCTTCCTCACCAAAAAAAAAAAAAAAAAAAAGATACAGAACTGATCCCTCACAGAGCAGCTCCCTTGTGCCGCCCTGCCTCCATGTTCCTAGGGAATTATTTCCTTACACAGGATGTTTATGCTTCTCACCCTTCTGATCACCAGGGCCTGAGCCAAGGCCTTCGGCTCAAAGCAGTGAGGCCCCTCAGCAGAGCCAGTTCACAGGACACAGAAATGCACATGGCTGAGGTGGGCGTGTGGATTCTGATGGACAGAGTGAGTCCCCAGGTAGAGACGGTCCCCCCCAGTGTCCGGAGCAGCAGCCCCGGCAGAGAGGGGATGAAGTTGGTTTGGGAGCCAGTCTTGGGGTTGGTGAGGGAGAGGGCAGAGGGGTGGCCTCCTGAGTCACCGCGTGGAGGTCCGGGGATGGCCCTGGATAAATAGCAGTTATTAGGGAATTTAAGAGGCTGGGGGAGGGGCTGAAGGCGGCACGCCCCGCCCTGCGTTAGAATGGGCCCCTCGAATCTAGGGCCCCACCTCTGGCTCCCTAGAACCATTTCCCATCTCACCACTGTCTCTCCCACTCTCTCTCTAGGTCCCTGTCCCCTCTCTCTGGGTCCCTGTCCCCCTCTCTCTGGGTCCCTGTCCTCCTCTCTCTGGGTCCCTGTCCCCCTCTCTCTGGGTCCCTGTCCCCCTCTCTCTGGGTCTGTCCCCCTCTCTCTGGGTCCCTGTCCCCCTCTCTCTGGGTCTCTGTCCCCCTCTCTCTGGGTCCCTGTCCCCCTCTCTCTGGGTCCCTGTCCCCCTCTCTCTGGGTCCCTGTCCCCCTCTCTCTGGGTCCCTGTCCCCCTCTCTCTGGGTCCCTGTCCCCCTCTCTCTGGGTCTCTGTCCCCCCCCCCCGGGTCTCCATCTCTTACACTGTCTCTGTACCCAGTTCTCCTCACCCCTCTGCAGAGCCCAAGTTGAGGGACACCAGTTCTGCACTGCCCTTGCCCCCTGCTGTGGCCCCTGCTGCCCCACCTTCAGGGCTGTGAGGACCAGGAAGAGAGACGCATGGGAGACAGGACTGCCCAGCCCCAGCACCTCCTGCATCCTTTCTCCTGCTGGCTCCCTGTCCCCAACCCCTGCCTCTCTCTCTTCCTCTGGAGCTGTCACCTTTCTTCTCTGCCTCCCTGTCTCCTCTTTCTCAGTGTCCTCTGTCGGTGTCCCCATCACCCATCTTGTATCCACCGCTCCATCCATCTCCCCATTTTTTCCGCCTTGTCCTGCATGGGCTTCCTCCTCTCTCTTCCCTAGTACCACCTTTTCCTTCCCTGTCATCTCTCCGCCTCCCTCCATCTCCACTGCCGTTATGTTGTATGTGTGTATTTGGAGGGTATCTCTGCCTGTCTTCTCTCTTCATCTTTGCCTCTTTCTCTGTGTGTGTTTCTATTCTGTCTTCACCGTCTTCCCTCCGTTTTTCTACTTCTCTCTCTGCTTTTCCACGCTCATCTCTCCATGACTCTATTTCTGTACCTCCCCTCACCCTGTCTTGTCTTTTTCCATCCGCCTCCTCGGTCCCCCATCTACATTCATCTTCCTCCTCCTGCTCCATCTCCCTCAATTCTCCCCACTGCTGGCACTTTTTTCTCTAGACATGTGTTTCTCTTACTCTTTGCCTCTCCAGCTTCATATGTTCCTTCTCTCACATTCCCCCAGGTTCTCTGCGCCTCCCTGGCTGCCTCTCTCTGTGACTCTGTCCCTCCCTTCTCGGCTGCGCCCCTGCCCCCCCCCCCAGCCCCCGTCCACCCTGCCCTGGGGTCTCCCTCCTTGGATTCCTCCCACATTATAAAACCTTCTCTGGGCGGGTGGGCGTGTTCCCATTACTGACTGTGGCCGCTTCTCTGGCCAGAGAGGGGAGGGAGGAAATGGGATTGGGGAGTCCTGAATGGGAGCTAAGTAGGCAATTAAAAAGATGTCAGGAGAAGGGCGAGGGCAGGGCCAGCAGCCCAGACCCGGGATAAAAGGCCTCCACCAAGTGACAGGGAAGTGACACCACCCCCATCTCCTCCACAGAGGAGTCATCGAGACATCGAGGCAGATCTGAGCCTTGCTCAGCCTCCTCCCTCCAGCCCCCAAGGAGCCCCCAGACCCTGCTCTGTGACCTCTGCTCTTTCTCTTTCCCATGTCTCTAAGCATCTTGGTCTCGGTGTGAGAGGCTCTCTCTGTCTCTGTCCCTCAACCTCTGGGTCCTTGAGGCCTCCCCCTCTCTCATTCTCTCTCTCTCTCTGCATTTACCAGAACCCAACCCTCGGCCCCCAGAATGTTTGTCCTGCTGACAGCACTTCAGATCTTGGCTGTAGGTAAGACAGCAGTGGGGTCTGTGGCAGGAAGTCCCATGGAGACTCTGAGAAGAGATGGGGAAGGGTCCTAGGGACCCGGGATGCTCATGGGTGACCGGATGAGAAGGAGTGGGGAGGAGGTTGGGGATCATGGCTGAGGAGCACACTGGAGGAGAGCCTGAGTTCTGACTGTGGAGGTATCAGGAGATGGCAGGGCAGGGGAGTCATAGGAGATGGGGAGAAATGAATGAAGAATTGTGGAGAACTATGGGGTCACGTTAGAAAGGAGGGCCTCAGCATGCTCCTCGATTGTGATAAGGAAGAACTAATATGGGAAAGACGGCGTGTTGTCAGCAGTGATGGTGGGGGTGACAGTGGGGTGGTGGGCTCACGGCAGGGGGCCTGGCGTGGCGGGCCGAGAGGGTATCAGGCAAGATAGTGGATCCTAGGGGCTGGGGGTCACAGAGAGTGGGAAGGTTGGGGAAGGGACAGGGAGCTTCTTGAATGTGTTGGAGACGGATTCATGGGGGAAATGTGGCGTATTGTGAAAAGTGATGATAGGAAGTATTTGTGGTAAAGTGGAGTCAAGAAGAGCTGATGTATGAAGGCCCTGGATGAGGTGGCCATGGGATAAAATAATAGATACTATGGAGGTGACTGGGGCAGCCATTGGTCAGAAAACTCCCATGTTGGGGCAATAATGGGGGCAACGTTGGGCATATCTCATATTGAGTGGGGTGGATGGATGTGGACGGTTTAAGGTTTAAGCAAAGAAGAAAGGGATTAGTGGGTCCCATACATCCTAGGGTTGGGGGGGTGGGGAGCATTTACTCCTCTGCTCTCCCCACCCCACCCCACTCCTGCCTGTTCCTAGCCATGATACAGAGCCAAGCGGATGAGTCCAAGATAATTGGCGGCCATCCGTGCATCCAGAACTCTCAGCCGTGGCAGGTGGCCCTACTGGCAGGTCCCGGGCGTCGATTCCTCTGCGGAGGGGCCCTGCTGTCTGACCGGTGGGCCATCACCGCTGCTCACTGTGCCCGCCGGTGAGTGACCCCCTCCCCTGTTCCTGCGCCAAGTGAATTCCTTAGTCTAGAGCCCCAGAGCTCAGCTGAGAACCCGGAGCCCTGTATAGAACCCAGTGTAGTACCAGGGTCCTGGTTTGGAGTCTGGTTAATTGCCTAGAACCATGGACGCAGCTCAGAACATGGAATCTAGCCACAAATCTTGAACTCAGTTTAGATTCTGAAAGCAGTTTGACAGCTTAGAACCCATACACCAGCTTAGAGTCCCACACGGAACCTAGAAGCTAACACATAACCTAGAGATCCATCCAGAGGCCAAGCTCTACATAGAGACTAAGATCAGGAGCCCATTACAGATGGGTGATAGAATGTAAGGCAGAGTCTACCTTTGGAAACTCAGGATCCCTCTCAGAACACTACCTAGAATCTAGAGTCTGGTTTGGAACCTGAAGTCCAGCCATAAATCCAGAACCTCGCTTATAGCTGGAACATACAGCTCAGAGCATAAGATAGAGACAAATCTGGAGCCTGTTCTAGATCTGATGTTTAACCTGGATTCTAGTCTACAGCTCCTCTTTGAGCATCCTAGAACCAAGACCTCAACCCAACATCTAAATCCTAGAATGTATACCATAATCTGAAGCATCATAGAGAACTCAGAGCCCCTCCAAGATTCTAGACCTAAACCTAGAACCTAGACTCCAGATTAGAATTCAAGTCCAGATGAGAGCCCTCTCCTTGCCTGTAAACCAGATCTCATGCCATAAACTTCAGTTCAGGTTAGAATGTAGAGCGCAGAACTCAGCCCAGAGTCTAGAACATAAAGCCCAAAATGCAAACCAATATCTAGAACCTTGGATCCAGGCCATAACATGGAGCTCCATCTAGAACCCAGAGCCCAACCTGAGGTCAAGGACCCAGACCAGAGTCTAGAGCCAAGAGCCTAGACTATAACCACAATTCAATCTGAAATAGTCTGGCCTAAAATCAAGAACTCAGACTAATATTTAGAACCTTTGGCTGAGCTGGAGCACAGAGCTCAAACAATTGTCTAAAATCTAGGTCATAAACCAGAGCATAATCAGGAACCCAGAACTCAACAGAGACATTGGAGTTTATATAAGTATCCAGAACCCAGAATCCAGCCATAATTCAGAGCTCAAAAGAGAACCCTCAGCTTACCCTAAAACCAAAAGCTCACCTAGAAAGTATGCCATAATCCAGGCTCAATCTAGAACCCAGCTCCTAGCTTAGAGTCAAAAGTTCAAAATGTCTAGAACCCAGAGGCCAGGCTAGAACTGGGGTGGAGTCTGCCTGGAGCCTACTCCGGAATATCAATTCTGATTTACAGCCTAGAGCCAGAGTCTCACTTAGCACTCAGAGCATAGATCAAGGTACAGACTCTGGAACTGAGTCAAGAATGCTCAACCATCCATCATCTTATACCCAAGCCAGAAACCAGAGCACAGCTCAAGAGAGGGTGGGGAGGACGGTGGGATTGGGCCAAGAGAGGATGCCCGGGTGGTGGGAATCAATACAGGAAGCCAGCAAACAGTCAGCTTACAGATAGAGGGGAGGTATATTACACTCGGGGAAAATGCATCACCGGGGAAGGGAACAGGGCTGGAGGGTGAAGAGGGGTCTCCAGATCAGATCCTAAGCAGCACCACTCGTGCGGTCTGTGGCCAGGATCCTTTGGGTCGCCCTGGGCAAGCACAACCTGAAGAAGTGGGAAGCCACCCAGCAGGTGCTGCGCGTGGTTCGCCAGGTGCCACACCCCCAGTACAACTCCCGGACCCACAACAATGACCTGATGCTCCTGCAGCTGGGGCAGCCTGCTCGGCTGGGGAGGGCGGTGAGGCCCATCCCTGTGGCCAATTCCTGTGCCAGTCCAGGGACTCCCTGCCGTGTGTCGGGCTGGGGCACCACATCCAGCCCCAATGGTGAGGATTCCTGCATCCTGCATCTGGGAAAGGAGGGGGTTGAGGGCCTGATTCCTGGATCTGAGGGAGGGGGGCTGGGGGCTGGCCCCCAGGGTCTGAGGGAGGAGGGGCTGGGGGCCTGGATCCCTGGGTCTGAGGGAGGAGGGGCTGGGGGATGGACTCCTGGGTCCTGTTGGAGGGTGGACCCCAGTCATAACCTCTCAGTGCCCCCCAGCCAGGTACCCCAACTCTCTGCAGTGCGTGAACATCAACATCATCTCGGATCAGGATTGTAGGCAGGCGTATTCCAGAGCCATTACCTCAGGCATGGTCTGTGCAGGAGTTCCCCAAGGGGGGAAGGACTCTTGTCAGGTGAGGCCCAGGGGGAAAGCTGGAGGAGGGGGATTTGTTTGGGGCTGGGACAAAAGGATCTCAGGAGTATGAAAATCAGCAGAGGTTCCCCAGAGACCGAGAGAGACTGTCATAGCCAGGCTACACTGCCTCATCGCTTTGTGCCTTTGGGTAATGGATCTAACCTCTCTGTGCTTCAGTTTCTCCATCTGTTCACTGGGGTAGCACCTCTAAGAGCAGAAGAGATTGAGCTAAGACAAAGAGGGGCCCAGTGAGACCCAAGGGACAGAGACAGAGTGGAACCAGCGACAAGGGAAGGAAGTGACCCCAGACCCCAGGGCTGATATCTGCGGGGTGTCTCAGCCCATCTCCCTCCCCATCTCTGCCACTTGGCTGTCTGTCCATGTGTGTCTCCATCTCTGCCTCTCCCCCTCAGGGTGACTCCGGGGGACCCCTGGTGTGCAGAGAACAGCTCCAGGGCCTGGTGTCCTGGGGGATGGAGCGCTGTGCCCAGCCTGGCTACCCCGGGGTCTACACCAACCTGTGCAAGTACCAGAACTGGATCCAGGGAACCATACGGAGCAGATGATCGCCAGTGTGACCAAATGTCAGCCGCCCGACATGCTTCCCTAGACACTGCTCTCTCCATTCAAGACTCAGGAGTCCAGCCCCTGGAGTCCAGGCCCCCAGCGTCCTCATCCTGACCCTTATCTCAGAACCCCTCTCTCCCAGATCAGTTCCTTCAGGTTTTTTCTCCCCACCCCCACAACATCACCATCATTATTCAAGACCCCCTTAGGCACAGAGGGTGGGAGCCTGAAGGCACTTAACTGACACCATATTCCAAAGAAGGCAATTTTCAAAATTCTCAGTACCTCTAAAAACCAGGTAAAATAATAATAAAAATTGAACAACCCTAAATTCCATTCATCTGCTCATTTAACTCATTCAACAGATATGTACACAGTGGCCCCACTGCGCCGAACCAGGAGCCATATTCTGACAAGCGGCTGAATAGGGTGCATGCTGTTCCCTGGGGGTCTGCCTTCCCCCCGACCCATTGTATCTGGAGTGGCAGAAGGAGACGCCCAGCCTTGCAGTGTGACGCTGAGCTGGACTGCCCCTCCCCGGCCTCCTCTCCAGGTCCTGCGAGCAAGGAGTGCTGAGATTCAAGGCAGGGAGAGCAAAGACCTATCCCGTTCCCTGGAAAACTCCAAGCAAATAGAGCCGGCCCCTTTGTCCTAATCAGATCTCAGGTGAAGAGAGCTGAGTTAATCACCTTCTTGAGTTCAAGTCCTGGCAGAGCTCTGCTGTCATTTTATTGATTTATTTCCACTCCTCATCCGTGGCTCTGGTCCTCTCCATCCCACAGGCACCGACACAAGTGGCCTCAAATACATGCCTTGTTGCATTTCGTTGTTTCTAATCTGCACAAAACCATGGCGTTGTGAATCCCATTCTCTTTCTTGCTGTCATTCAGTGGCTATTTATTGGGCACCTACTATGCACCAGACATGAGTCTATTTACTAGGCACCTACTCTGCACCAGACGTTGGTCTAGGTGCTGGCAGTGGAGCTGAGCACAACCCAGAGAAATTAAATGCTGCCAGAGCTTACATTCAAGCAGGAGGTGATAGACAGGAAACAGTAAAGATAATTTAAAAGTAGAGAGTCCCTGTGAGTAAAAAGGCCAATAAACTTGGGCTGGGCAGCAGGCCCAGTGTGTGCCAGAGCCAGCTCATCCCAGCCCATAAAAGCCTATTGGCAGATTTTCAGGAATCTGAGTTGGTTGCTAAAGAGCCATTATTAAAAACTGAATTACATAAACTTACAATTAAATCATGTATATTAAAAACAAAGTCAATAAATTCTCAAAACTCATCAATTCCTAATTATTTTTACTAATATCCATGCTTTGAGGTTACTTGTGTCTATCACATGACGTCTGTAACGATGACCTTCTGGGCATCTTTTCCCAACTCTGTGTCCAGGGATGTCTCGTTGGGAGCTTAGCATCAGCCCAGGTGGAAGGATTTACACCATGGAAATTGGCAAATGCAACAGATCAGGGCTTTTGTTCTGAGGGCTGTGGTTAAATCCTTACTGGCATGCCATGTGACAGGTCTGCCTGGGAATGACCTAGGGATCTTGGTGTCTGTCTTTGTATAGTTCTGTGCTTGGATGGTGCAGAGTCAGATAGAGTAGAAGGCCGTGCTGGCCTCAGAGGTGTTCACCTGCTGTGCTGTGGGGAACAGCACAAGACTGGAGAGTTCTGAGGTGGCAGGTCTGGGACCTGTGTGACAACAGCAGCTCAGAGGATCGCTGGGAATGGAAGCTGCTCCTTCTGTCAAGGCTGTGCAGACACACTGTGGCTCTCTTACATGACAGCCATACAAGCAGAAGAAAGAGGACAGAAAAAGATGTGACTTGGATAGCCTCGGGTCTCCGATGAGGGGCAGATACAGCCCGTGCTGTAATTCCTAGCCTGCATCCTTTTAGAAAGCTAGGTAAAAGTAATTTAGATTAAAGATTACTTTGATCTGATTTCCAACCCGTTCTCCCAGCTGTGGTGACTGAGTACCGCATTTTATTGCTTCTCGAATGCACATTCCTTTCATATTTTTTAACATCTCTGAAATCAGGAAGCATCTTACAACTGATGGTGTCTTCGCACTAGGTCACAATTTAATAGGCAGCTCCCTTTTCTTTCTTAGTGATACACAAAATAATAGCGCAAATCCAGTCAACGGTGTTTTAGATTTGACGAGAGAGAGTACGAAGGAACGTGCATGCAGGGGAGGAGTCACGCTGCGGTATTAAATTGGTGATGTTATTCCACGAAACATTGTTCTAACAATCTAGCCATGTTGCTGTTTGCTCATCTCGTTCATTGTTTCTCAATGCCACAGAGTCTTCTCGATCTATGCCATCCAATATGGTAGCCACCAGCCACGTGTGGTCATTTAATTTTTAAATTAACATTAGGTAAATTTAATCCATGTTAAAATTCCATTCCTTAGTCACACTCGCCACATTTCCGGTGCTCAACAACCATGTGGAGCAAGTGGCTGCCATGTTGGACAGCGCAGAAAAATAGAGTATTTCCAGCATCGAAGAAGTTCTATCAGACAGCACTCCTCCAGTTTATACCCTTGTTTCTCAAAGTGTGGTTCAGAGAACAGCAGCTTCTGAATCACCTGGAGCTTATTAGAAGTGCAGTCTTGGACCCCACCCCGGACTGACTGAACCAGAATCTGCATTTTAACAAGATCCCCAGGGGACTCAATGCATGTTAGAGTTTGAGAAGCATCACTCCATGATATACATCCACCATGTTTAAGGAGCCAGTCCCCCAGTGATGGATACCTGGGTTCCCTCACAATGCAAGCAACAGTGCAATGGCTATTCAGGGGCATGCCCCTTATGTACCTAAAGAGACTTCTCTGAAATATTCGCAGGAGCAAGACCACTGGGCCAAAAGGCCTACTTTTATTGAATTTCACCAAGCATTGGCAAATTTTTGTCCAAATAAGAAGAATTTCTGTCTCCCCAAACCCTCAACAATGTCTGTAGTTCATTCATTCATTCAGCAAATATTCATTAAATCCTATTCTGTACAAAGTACTGTCCTGGGAGCAAAACAGATAAACACCTCTGTCTTTAGGGAACTCACTTCTAGAGGAGAGGCAGAGAAGAAACACATGAGTAAGTAAAACATAAAGTATGACAGATGGCAGTTAAGTACGTGGAGAAAAGTAAAGCAGATGGGATGCAGAATGTCAGAGGAGGGTTGCAATCTTAAGTGGGTGGTTGTGCAATGAAGAGTTAACTCAGCAGGCCTGGGCTGTCAAACCCTACACATTACAAAGAAAGGTTTGGCCCTTGGCCGGCTTCTGGGAGGGAACCTCTAAGCCCTTGAAATATCTTTCCTTTATCAGGAAGTGTCTTTGTTGACCTGGAAGCCATGGGCCATGCCAGATAGTCCATCCTAATAAGGTGACTTATGGTGGAAGCCTTGGGATATGTTGTATCAATTTGACCTCTGGAGGGGCTGAAGACCAAGGTCAGTCACAGGCAGACAGCCACGTGCCTATATGACCAACACCCAGCAAAAACCTAGACACCAACGCTCAGGTGAGCATCCCTTGTGGATGGTACTCTGTGCGTGCTGTCACACATTGATCTGGGAGAAGGAGGCACAGTCTGCACGACTCCACTAGGAAAGACACTGGAAGCTTGTATTTGGTCTCTCCTGGACTCTGCCCTCTGTGCCTTTTCCTCGATGATTTTAATCTCCATCCTTTTGCTGTCATAAACCCAAACCATGAGCATACCAACTTTTCTGTGTTGAGTTCTGTAAATCCTTCTAGTGATTCATTGAACCCGTCTTGAGGACCCCCAACTACAGAGGTCAAGGAAGTCTTCAGGGAGAGGATGGAAAGAATGCAAGAAACCATGCAGACATCTGGTCATCTGGTTTGGAAGGGCGTTCCAGGAGTGGGAACAACAGGCATTAAAGTTCTGAGATGGGAGTGTGCCTGGAATGAGAGCAGCAAGAGAAGAGGAGAGGGTTGATGGTGGTAGAGGACTGTTGGGGGCCAGATGGTCTAGAGTCTTGAAGCCCACCATAAAGAAACATGACTTTCACTCTGAGATGGAAGGCACCGCAGGGTTTTAAGAGGAGTGACCTGACTTGACATACATTTTGAAAAGTCACTCTGGCTGCTGTGTCAAAAATAGAGTGTAGGTGGGGCCGACCCGGTGGCACAGTGGTTAAGTTCACACATTCCATTTCAGTGGCCCAGGGTTCGCCGGTTCAGATCCCGGGTGCGGACATGGCACCACTTGGCAAGCCATGCTGTGGTAGGCATCCCACATATAAAGTAGAGGAAGATGGGCACGGATATTAGCTCAGGGCCAGTCTTCCTCAGCAAAAAAAGAGGAGGATTGGCAGCAGATGTTAGCTCAGGGCTAATCTTCCTCAAAAAAAATTTTTTTGTTAAATAAATAAAATAGAATGTAGGCAGAAAAGGACAGAAACAGGGAGAACAGATAAAAACTTGTGATAATCCAGGTGAGAGATGATGGTGGTTGGGAGGGACCAGGGTGGCAAGGATGGAAGTTGTTGAGAAATGGTTGGATTCTTGATCTATTTTGAGCTGAGAGGGTTTTGTTACAAAATGGATGAGTGGTGTGAGAAAAGGGATTCAAGGGCAAGACTAAGGTTTTGGCCAAGGAATGGAAGGATGGAAAGATCATCTACTGAGAAGAACAGGACCACAAGAGGAGCCTGTTTCCAACATGGGAGGACAGGAATTTGGCGGGGTTTTTTTTTAATTATTGAGGTAAAATTGGTATATAACATTATATAAGTTTCAGGTGTGAAACATCATAATTCAACATCTGTATACACTACAGAGTGATCACCACCAAAGGTCTAGTTACCATCCATCACCATACAATTGACCCCCTTCACCCATTTTGCCCATCTTCCAACCTCCTTCCCCTCTGGTAAGCACCAATCTGTTCTCCATATCTATGCTTGTTTTTGTTTTTGTTTTATTTGTTTGTCTTGTTTCTTTAGAGTCCACATATGAGTGAAATCATACAATGGTTGTTTTCTCTCTGTCTGATCGACTTCACTTAGCATAATACCCTCAAGATCCATCCATGTTGTCACAAATGTCAAGATTTAACCTTTTTTATGCCTGAGTAGTATTCCATCATACAGATATACCACATCTTCTTTATCCAGTCATCCATCAATGGACACATAGGTTGTAGGAGTTCGGTTTTGAACGTGGAGATGTTGAGTAGGCAGTTGGATGTCAAGTCAAGAGTTCAAGAGCAAGGTCTGTCTGGAGACATAAACTTGGGAGTCGTCAGCATGTAGATAGTATTTAAAGCCATGAGACCAGATGAGATCACCAAGGGAGTGAGTGTAGACAGAAGGGAGAAGAGGATCAAGTGCTGAGCTCTGGGGTGCTCCACCATATAGAGGGGGGACATGGGGAGAAAATGGTACCCGATGTGGATGAGAAGCAGCCAGTGAATTGTGAAAAAGACCAGGAGGGTGTAGTGTCCCAGAGCCAAGGAAAGAAACTCTGAACAGACAGGGAGTGACCCACTTGTTAAATGCTGCTGCTAACTCAAGTAAGATGAAGCCTAAAGAGCTGGCTATTGGGTCCAGCAATATGGAAGTTATTGGTGCCCTTAAAAAGGGCGCAGTTGGTGGAGCAGTCAGATAGAAAGGCTGCATGGAGTGGGCTCAAGAGAGAACAGGAGAGGAATCACAGACAGGGAGTGTCGCCAACTATTTTAGAGAAGGAGTGCAGTTGAGGGAGCAACAACTGGTCCGGAAGCTGAAGGAGAGCATGAAGGTTGAGAGAAGGGTTTTTTTTTTTTTTTTATTGTTTTAATGGAAGATGGGAGAAATTGTAGCATGTTTGTAAGTTAATGGGACTGCTCACTGGGGGAGAAAAAAAAATGATGCAGACAAAGGAGCAGAGAACTGCAGACTGCGACAATTTCCTCAAGAAGGTGAGAGCGGACAGGATACAGGACTCAAGTGGAGGGGTCTGACTTAGATGGAGGTGCAGACTGTTCATCTATAGAAATGGGAGAGGAGACAGAGGATGTGGGCATAATTTCTGCTATTCTGATGGGTGGAAAGATGATGACTGGGGCCAACATCCTTCATAACATAGATCCAGCTTTAAAGAAGAATTTGTGTCTCTCAACTCCTCGTGCATCTTTCTCTCCAAGAGCAGGTGTCTGGTTTCTCCCCGGGCATTTCTCTGTCTTTCTGTCTCTCTGTCTTTGTATCTCTCTGCATTTCCTCCGTCCTCTCCCAACCACCCTGTCCTTCTATCTCTGTCTATTTACCCCTTTGTTTCTTTCTCTGTCTCCCCCATTCCCTTCATGTTTGCATTTGAGCCTCTCCTCCGGGCCTGGGTGTGGGACCAACTTTCTAGTCCCAACCAGCACTTCCAACCAGAACTTCCAGTTTCTGCTTGACAAAGAACCCCATTTTGAAGCCAACCTAGGGTGGGGCCTCCAGGAACCTCAGGCTGCCTCCATCTCTCCAGTTTTACTTATCTAACAAGCACATTTGTGGCCCTTGGTCCACGCCAGGCTCTCATCTGGGCTCCATCAAATATTAACTCATTTAACCCTCCTCTATGAGGTCACTGCCATTGAGATCCCCATTTTACAAATGGGGACACTGAGGCACAGAGTTGTCATGCCACTTGAACTCAAGCAGTCTAGCTCCGGAGTCTGAGATCTAAACCACTAGGAACACTGCCTCTTTTTTCCAGTCCTTTCTTCTTTCTCTGGCCCTGCTCTCTGTTGGGGGAGAGACCCTGATCTGTGTGACAGTACACCTGGATTTGGTCCAGTTGTGTGACCTCCAGCAGCTTATTCCCCTCCACTCCAGTTGCTTTACTGATCAAGTGAGGGTGGAATGCACCCAACCCTCTTTGGGCCCATGACCTCACTTCAAGGAGAATCAGCTAACCTAAGTCCTGCCCAATTATAACGCTTAATATCATTGTTGACCTGGTACTTACCCCTCAGCAAATACCAAAGCCAGTCACCCTCACTCCAGGTTCCAGCCCTTCCCAAATGAGAAAGGCTTTTCTGGAAGCATGGACCCAAGCCACAAGAGGGCACAGCTACCCTGACTTCTCACACAGACCTGTCACCTCACTTAACCTGGCATCCTCCCTCCTGCCATCCAGCCTGGACCCAACTCTACTCAAGAAGAGTGAACTCAGTCCCCACTCTGGGTCCAGCCCTGGGAGGTGGGGTAATTCCAAGGCGGAGAAGGACAGTGGCCTTTCTCTCACCTTGAGAGGAGTTCACAGCTATGACCCAGCCCACACCCACCAGCATCCTACCCCAGCGCAGACATTCAATCTCACGTCAAGTCTTCATTATCAATGTCAACCCACAACACCAACTCGACTGTATTTCAACACCTCCCCATCCAAAACCTCAACCTTGGCACCATCTCCAGCCCCAGCCCAACAGGACTCCATCAACAACCTTACCCCCAGATCCCTCCCATCTACAGCCCAATCCTATCCCCAAAATCAGCTCCAACCCCATCCTCTCCCCATGCCCATTCTCCTCCCCAAACTCATTAGCATTCTCAGTGCTGTCATCAGATCCATCCTGAACCTGACCACAAACTTTTCTTCCTAGGGTAGGGAAAAATTGTGCAAGACTTTGAGATGGACCCGCAGATGTCTTCAACGGAAAACTAGAAGGGTTAGCTGATTTTATGAGGTCTCTGCTCCTTCAATAAAATCGTTGACGTATGCTCATCTTAAATATGTAGGCAAGTCATGGTTAGACCCTCTAAAAATGTCTTTTAACACTAGTTTTGATACCTACATCCAAACATTAACTCCCCCAGTATGGACCATACCAGTTTTGATGGGAATCGTCACTGTACCATCTCAACCCTTCATCCTTATCATGACACCACTGCTGTCTCTCCTTCCAGACTTAATCTGGTCCCCATCCATGGCTTTCTTCCAAATTCTGACCCCACCTCCATCCTCCCTAATCCTTAATCCTGCCCCCTCCACCCCCAAGGATTAGTTCTCGGTCCCACCCAGTCACAGTTCCAGGAGCCGCCCACTCATTCTCCAAACACCACCTCTTCCTGCTTCCTCTTCGCACTCATCCCGGCCCCCAGAGCTTTCTGATTCCTCCTTTTCCCCACCTACGTCCCGGCGGACTCCCTCAACCCATCTGGCCCTGCTCCTAAAGGGCCATTTGTCCAAAGTATTGCTTTCCCAGGCCCAATCCCTGCCCCCATCCAAATCCAAGACAGTTGATTTCTATCCACCTCCCTGAAGATTCCCTTCTTCTGCCTGATGGTTGGGGAAGAAGGAAATGGTAGAATAAATTTGAGCATCCTTGTGTTTTTCAGAAGAAAAAGGGCTGGAGGTGGAGTTGGGGCTGGAGATGAGGCTGAGAAGTGGAATTTGGTTGTGTTGGCTTTGGTTTTGATAAGGGCTGTTAATGGGATTCAGTTTGAGGGATAGGCTGATGGTAAGGGGTCTGGTTAGGATTAGGTAGGTAAAATGGAAATAGGGTGGAAAAGGGCCATCTGGGGGACAGATGCACGGGGTTGGAATGGAGATCAGAAAATGGGATGGAAAATGGGTCGGTGTTAGGGAGAGTCATGAGCATTTGGGGTGGGTTTAGGCTGTTCCTTTCCCTCTAGGTGGGTCCTGCAGCCTGAAAATTCACAGTGGGTTCAACTCGGGCTTGGGCGGGGCCAGATCTGGGTCCCAGCTTGTCCTGGAAGCTCCGCCCCCCAGCGGAGGGCCAAGCCCAGGCTGGGGGCTGCTTGGCGACAGCCTGGCGAGGCTTCGGGGGTGGAGAGGGGGAGGCCAACAACAGGGAAATGCTGAGGGCGCTGGGGGAGGGAGTTCAGAGGTTAAAAGCCATGGGTCCGGGCTGAAGTTGGAGGCAGCCCGCGGCAGAAAGCTCTTCATCCGGGCCTCTCAACCAGGTAGGGTCCGCCAGGAGCGGGGGCGGGAGCGTCGGAGGAGAGGAGAGGGGAGAGGAGGGAGAGGTGAGGAGGGAAGGGAATAGCGGGAGAATAGCTGAGTCAGGGAGATGGAGACGGAAGCCAGGGGCTCAGGAAGAGAGAGAGAAATCTGCAGAGATGAAGAGAAGTGAAGCACCAAGAAAGATAAGCAGCTCAGTTTGAGACCAGGTGTCCCGACCGACCCTAAGAGGAGACTGCGGACGGAGAGGGGAGAGGGAGGGCGCACAGAGGACCCTGGGGGGCCAGGGCTGGAGGGGCTGGCCACCTGGGGTGAGGGATTGCAAGCCGGTGTCCTGGGGGAAGAGGGTGCACGCCGCCCCCTCTACCTTGTTACTGCCCCAACCCCCGCCCGCCCTCCAAAGATAAACCTGGAGAGAGGGTGCAGATTCCAGGGTCAGAGTTCTCGGTGAAGGAGAGGAGATTCAAGACTGGGAAGGGCAGGAGCAGAGGGAGGGGGTGTCCAGAGATGGGGGTTCTGGCCAGCCCTTAACACCTCCTTCAACTTCTCAGGCCCACCCGGCCTGCCCCCCACCCCGGAGAGTCGCCATGTGGCCCCTGGCCGCTGTGACCGCCTTGCTGAGCGTGACCTTGTCAGGCGGTAAGAATGCGCGGGAGCGGAGGCGGGGTGACGGCTCGGGACAATAATAGGAGAGGTCAGGCCAAAAGGAGGGGTCAGGCCGAGGGGAGGGGGCGTGGCAGCCTCGAGCTCCGCCCCCCTCCCCTCCTTCAGCGGGGGTGGCTCTGAGAGCTTCCTGCTTGTCCTTACATGACCTGGTTTCCCGGCTGGGGTCAGCCCACTCTCCGCACCGACCCCAGACCCTTCCTTTGGGCGACCCAGCCCAGTTGCCCGCCCCCCCCCCCCCCCCCCCCCCCCCCCATTTCAAGTCTTCCAACTCTTCCCCACCAGCCCCTTCCCTGAGTGTCCTATTCAGCACTGGAGAGCCCACCCCCCAGCCGGTACCCCCACGGCAGCTCCTCCCACATTCGAGGCCTCTCTGAGAGTTAGAGGAGACAGACCCGGGTTCGAATCCTGATGCTGCTACTGTGAGCAAGTAACTTAGCTTCTTTCGTTCATCTGTAAGATGGCAACTTTAAGTCCTTACCTCAAAGGGTTGTTGTGAATATTAAAATGAGCTAAGACATGTCAGGTGGTCAGTGCGTGGCAGATAGCAAGGACTGGAAAGTTGGTCTTTGTTATTTTATTCGTAGGACAGCCATGTACCACTTAATGACTTCAGTCAAGGATGCCCTGCATATACGATGGTGGTCCCATAGGATTAGTCCCATATAGTCTAAGTACCACAAACCATGTGGGTTTGGGCAAGTGCTATAGAGGAAGATGAAATTTTCCTCTACCCTTCTAGGTTCTCCTGACTAGTACATGAGACAGATTAAAAGGAGAAAAACAGATAAAAGTTTAATAACATGTATACATGGGAGAAACCCAGGAAAAACCCAGTAACTCCAAAATGGTGAAAGCCCTCATCTTAAATACCATCCTTAGCTGAAGACAAAAGAATATGTTAGGGGTGGGGAGAGTCAGGGACTTCAAAGGGAAGGAAGGCAGTTTGCAGGTGGTTGAGAAGGAGCAGATGCTTAGAAAACAAGCGTTTGGCCACACAGAAACAGAAGCACGCCGAGGGGAGCCCAGGAAACAGGCTTTTCTGGGTTCCTCCCTGTCTACCACCTGGTTCATGTGATGCTAAGATGATAGCTCACTTCCTGAGACAGGTGGTTGGTTGGTTGGTTTGTTTTTTAGGGAAGTCCTTTTTTTTTTTTTTTTGCAAGGGAAGATTCACCCTCAGCCAACAGCTGTTGCCAATCTTCTCCTCCTTACCCCACCCCCAGCCCCCAAAGCCCTAGCACATAGTTGTGCATAGTTGCAAGTTCTTCTGGTTCTTCTATGTGAGTCGCCACCACAACATGGCCACTGACAGATGAGTGGTGTGGTTCCATGCCCGGGAACCAAACCAGGGCCGCCAAAGCGGAGCTGCAGAACTTTAACCATGAGGCCATCAGGGCTGGATTGAGACAGGATTTTTTATCCGAATTCTTTTAGGCAGTTAAAGAAGAGATAAAAATTTTCTGAGCTTTTTGTTTCTTAAAAATAATCAGCTTAAAATGTTCCTCATGTTAAAGAGACATTTTAGGTGGTAAATTTTGTTCCCCTTCAGTGTACTCTGTGATGTTCGCACAATGACGAAATCACCTAATGACACGTTTCTCAGAATGTATCCCCATTGTTAAGCGATGCGTGACAGTGTTCTGTCTCCATTCTCAGCCCCTTCTAGAATCTTCCAGTTTGTTTTTCCTTTAATCCTTGGGGTGATTCCAGATCTATCTGATTCCACCCAGAGTTGGTTCCCAAAGAGTCCTCTCTTCCCATTTAAACCCCTTTCCCTGCCTTTGCAGGCAAGTTCTCTGGAAACCCCATTCATACATCGTTTATTTTCATTCATTCAACAAACAGCTGTTGAGCATAGACACATTCTCTGCTCTCAGCACCCAGAGCCTAGAGGGAATGGATGCAGACATTATTCAGTTACCCCAATAATTAGTTAATAATTAGTTACAACTGTTGTGAAGTGACAGCTTCAAGGAGCCTAGAGATGTAGTGGCAGCTCCTGGCGTGGAAGGCCTTCCAGAGGACTTGACCCTTGAGCTGAGACCCAAGGGAGGGAGGGATCTGAGGGCACCTGGCACCCAGCACCATCTTTGGTCTGAAAGTGGGGTGGCTTCTCTCCCTTGGTGTCACTCCAAGGACTCATGCCCATGTCCTGAGCCCCTCCTGGGTGTCACACCCTGGACAAGGAGTTCCACATGCACCCTCTTGTGGAATCTTCAGTAGCCTTATGAGATAGATGCACTATAATTACTCCAGTTTTACAGCTGAAAGACCCAAAACTCTGAGACAGCAGGGTCCAGCCCCAAAGACACTGGCGGTACCTGAGCCAGGATCCTAATCCATGCTGCCAGCCCTGTCCCCCACATCCTGGACTTTATGCCCTGGAAAACCATCTTCATGATTTTAGACCTAATGATCTGCTTAGAGTCAATTCTTTTTTTTTTTTTTTTTTTTCACTTAAAGCATATTAGAGGTAAACTTTATATTGCTGTCCTAATGGAAAACAGCCTCCTTTTCCATTACCTATAAATAAAAGGTAAGAGGAAAAAAAATCCTGCACAATGAAACATGAACAATATGTTTACTGGGTTGGACCACCTGAAATTGCCAATAGTTGACCCTTTTTGACTTCTCCTAAAACAACGATTGCAGATGATTCAAATTCGCAAATTTTAGATTGCTGGCTGAAGGCTTTTGCTTCTTCCTGGTTTAAAAAACTGAGCTCAGTGAGGATTAGAGAGGTGTTAAAAGCATATTAGCACCTTTATGAGACTTTCTTCCCAACAAATCAGGATTGAAAGGGAACTGGATGATGATTGCAATCTGATGTTGTTTAAAGCACCATCTCTGTACCACCTCAAGTGACCCGGTGCCCACTATGATTCGTGTCCCCAACTCTGAGAACCACTGAGCTAATCCCACTGCTTGTGTAGGTGAGGGAGGTGGCCCAGGGAGAAGGGAGCTGCTGGCCACAGCGCTGGGGACCCCCTGTCTTAGCTAATAATAATAACAGTCCCCACTTACTGAGTGCTTACTCTGTGCCAGATGCTGTGTGCATCTTAGATGTAGGATCTTATTGAATCCTACAACTGCCCCATGAGGGATGAAACTATTTTCGTGCTTTATGGCTGAGAAAACTGGAGCTGGCAAGTTGTACGGGATCACCTAGCCACAAAGTGGCACATTCAGGACTGGATTTTCTGTTTGTCTACTGCTGTGCCTCCAATGCCAGGCACAGTGCCTGACACACACAACATTCATTGGTTGAGTACCTACTGCATGCCAGACACTCCTAGGTACTGAGGATGCAGCCCTAGAAAAAACAGTTCAGTATCAGTTGCCAGTAGGGTTGACAGTCAAGATGGGGAGATTACGAAAAACATAAATGGAAACAGATATAAAAAGAAATGAACAGTGATCAAGTCTCTGATGAAAATCAACCGGGGAGATGGAACAGGGAATGACTGGGGCATTAGGAGGGGCAATATTGGACCAGGTGGCCAGGGGGTCAGGGATGGGTTTAAATTCTGAGTGCCATTGAGTAGAATCTTTCGTACATATATACGATATCCTATGTCTGCCCTGTCCAATATGGTGGCCACTGGACATATGGGACTTCTGAGCATTTCAAAGGTGACTGGTGCGACTGGAGAACTGAATTTTTCATTTTGTTTTAGTTAATTTAAATTTTAATAGCAACATGTGGCTAGTGGCTACCATATTGAACAGTGTGGGTCTAGAGAAAGAACTGTCCAGACAGAGGAAGCAACAAGAACAAAGGGTCTAGTGTGTTTGAAGAACAGGTCCATGGCTCTGGAACAGAGTGAGTGAAGAGGAGAGAGGTGGGAGATGGGACCAAGGAGACTAGCAGGGGTCGCATGATGCTGAGTCCTGCAAACTGAATTTGGGAGTGGTTAGCCTATGGATGTTATTTAAAGCCATAGAGGCACAAATAAATATGTGTTGAAAGGATGGGTGCATGGATGGATACTGCCTACGTAGGCAGACACGTAGGGGCAGGCTCACTTCTACCTCCTGAAATCCATCCCCATGGTGTAATGAGATAGAAAATGCAGATGGGGAGAGAAAGTCATGCTTCCACTTACCTATCAGAAGCATCCTCATTCCATGAACACTTCTTGTCACCCCAATGGAGGTTTTGACATTTCTCCGGAAAAGAATGTCACCTCTATGCCCTGACTCATCTCTGCTACACAAAAAATGGCAACTCCCAGAGTCCAACAAGTGAATCATCAGTTCCTGGTCACCCAGAGCAAAATTCTGACCCCCTCCCCAAGCCCAGGAATCACAACTTTAGGCTTTCTTCCTGCTGGACCTCAATTCTCTAACATTTTCTCTTCTCCACCAGGCATCTCTCAGGAGTCTCCCAAGATTCTGAACAACACCACCAATGGGACCAATGGGTTTCTCCCGGGTGGCTATACCTGCCTCCCCCACTCTCAGCCCTGGCAGGCAGCCCTACTGGTACAAGGGCGACTGCTCTGTGGGGGAATCCTGGTCCACCCTAAATGGGTCCTCACCGCCGCACACTGTCTGAAGGAGTATGTGGGGGTCAGGGGAGCATGGGTAGGGATGAGAGTGGGACAAGGGTGGTGGATGGGGTGGGTTTGGATTTGAAGATGAAGTTAGAGTTAGGGTTGGGGGTGAGCATGAGAATGAGGTTTGGGGTGGATATATGGGGGCTGGGTATAAAAATGGAATTGAAGTAGGGGATATGGATGGGATTGGAGTGGAGGAGGCGAAAAGAGATGTGTTTGGAGATGAAGAAGGTGAGATGGGGAAGAGGCTAGGGCTGGGATGAGGATGGGGATGGGCTCATCTTCTCCTCTAACCACTCCCTTCCTACACCCACAGAGGGTACAGAGTTTACCTGGGCAAGCATGCTCTGGGGCGTGTGGAGGCTGGAGAGCAAGTGAGGGAGGTAGCCCGCTCTATCCCCCACCCTCAGTACCAGATCAGCCCCACCCACCTGAACCACGACCACGACATCATGCTTCTGGAGCTGAAGTCACCAGTCCAGCTCACGAGCCGCGCCTGCGTCCTGCCCCTCTCCCACACTGACTGCCTCCCCCCTGGCACCTGCTGTCGAGTATCTGGCTGGGGCACCACCACAAGCCCCCAGGGTACGCACCCACACAGGTGTCTGGAGGTCTCACAGAGTGGCCGGGAGAAGTGGGGCAGAGATGGGAGGGTAGGTCGGAGGAGGATTCTTTATATATAAAGGTTTAAGTGTATATACAGTTATATATTACATATGTGGTATGTATATAATGTATATATAATATGAAAAGACATCTTTTACATAAATATAAATTTCTAAATATAAAGCTAATTTGTTATATATCATATACAACATAGTTATTTATATCCTTTATGTAAATATATAAATATAAATTTATAAATATAAAGTTATATGTTATATGTAATATATAGTTATCTATATTCTTTATAGAAATATATAAAACTGTAATATATACTATATAGTATATATACATCATATAGTTATATAAATTAGATTTATTTTCTAAATTATAGATGGTATATTTATGTATTTATTTAAATATATTTGTATATAAAGTATAATAAAATTCTAAATATGTTTAAATATAAATATTTATAATTTAGAAGGTAAATTTAAAATATTGCTAAGTATGTCTATTAAGTATAAATATATCCCTTATATACGTTATACATATGCATTTAAAGTTGGTCTCTATGGCAACAAGAGCCCGTTGTTTCTCCATAGTGGTCCCCAGCTCTCTCCCAGTCTTGTTTCTATATCTTTCTCCCCAACGTGCTCCATCTCTCTACCTGCCACTCTGTCTTACTCTCCCTCATCTTTCTCCATCTCTCCTCTTCATGTTTTCCCCATGTCCACTTCTCTCTCACCATCTCTGTCTTCCTATTTCTTCCAGCTCTTTCTCTTTCCCCATCACTCGCTCCATCTCTCTCTTCTTCTAGCTCCCCATTCACCTCTCTTCCCTCCCAGTTCCTTGCCCCATCCCTCTCCATCTTTCCCTCCACTTTTCTCTTCATCTTTCCTTCCACCTCTCCCCCCATTTCCACGTTTCTGTCTCTTCCATCACTTTCCCCATTTACATATCCCATCTCTTCCCCCATATTCCTCTTCCCATCTCTATTTTCTACCAACTCTCTGCCCAGCCAACTCCCACCCCATAGCCTGTCTAAGACAGGTGTCTTTAGACTTTCTTCTCTCTCCTCCCCAGTGAACTACCCTCAGACCTTACAATGTGCCAATATCCAGCTACGCTCAGATGAGGAGTGTCGTCAAGTCTACCCAGGGAAGATTACACCCAACATGCTGTGTGCTGGCTCGAAGGAGGGTGGCAAAGACTCCTGTGAGGTGAGGGCAAAGGTGTCGTGGGTTGCCATGTGCCAGAATGGCAGTGGGAAGAGATGCTTTGTAAGGCGAGATGTCCCCTGGCATAGAGGGTCAAGATAAAAAGAGTAGGCTGGCAAACATAATTCATCTTAAGCCTAGGCTTTCGCTGACAGTGGCTGCCCAAATCCTTGTGTTGAGATGCATAAAGATGGGGATTCTTTTGGTTGCAACTGACAGAATCCCAACTCAAACTGGCTTAAGCAAAACACTGGCTTTTGTGACTGAAAAGTCCAAGGGTGCCTTGCCTCAGGCATGGATAGATCCAGGTGCACAAATAATGGTCAAAGACTGTCTTTTTTTTTTTAACTCACAGCTGTTCTCTTCTATTTTGGCTTCATTCTCAATTAAATTCTTCCTATGCAATAGCAAGATGGCCCCAACAGCTTTGGGCTTACATCCTACCCTCTAAGCAACTCTATTGGAAAGAGAGAATATCTCTTTTCCAATAGTTTACATAAGTATCTTGAGCACGATTCTCACTAGTCTGATTGAGTGTGATACGAATTAATGATGTGTGCCTTATTGATTAGTAATGTCTGCCCTGGGCCCAGGGGAAGTAGATGTACACGTGTGTTGTATACCCTACCCAGGTGTGGACAGGTTAATTCAATAGTAAGATGGCAGGGAGACCAAAAAACTGAAGCAGGGTTAGGGGGTAGGGGGTGCAAGGTGGGATTTGGTGCCAGGGACCCAAGAACAGGTGTATGAGGTAAGCTGTCAGCACTTTATTGAGACCAAGGAACAGAAAAACAGGGAGAGACATGGAAGTGTCTGTCTGCCTGTCTCTTTCTATCTCAGTGTCTGTCTCTGTCTTTCTCTTTTCCTGCCTCTCTGTCCCTCTGCATTTGTCTTCTTATCTTTTTTCTTATCTCTCACTGTCTCTGATGCTGTCTCTCACCCTCCATATTTCTCTGTCTCTTTTTATCTCTACCTCCATGGGTGTCTCTCTCCATCTTTTACTCTCTCCCCACATGTCCCCATGACTGCCTTTGTTTAACCTCAGCAAGGACCCCACCTCTCTCTCTCTCTGTCCCCCACTCAGGGCGACTCTGGGGGCCCCCTGGTCTGTAACGGAACACTCTACGGCGTCATCTCCTGGGGAGACTTCCCATGCGGGCAGCCCAACCGGCCTGGCGTCTACACACGAGTCTCTCGATATGTTTCATGGATCCAAGAAACAATCCGACAACAGAAAACCCAGCAGCAGAAATGGACGAAGGGCCCGCAGTAAGAGTCAGTTGACTTACCTACCTCCTTCCTCCAACCATACCCTCCTTGCTTGGTTTGCCCAGCCCTGCTCTGCCCCTCCCAGAGTGTTCCAGTTGAGCCAGTGATCCACGATCTCAAAATGTCCAATCCCAGCTGACATTTGATGTTTCAAAAGCACTGAGTCTCTGCCAGCATCATGGTCTCCCAGACGCTGCCTCCCGGAAACATCCCAGTCTCTTGAATGTCCCAGCCCAGACACAGTTCCAGATCTCCCTACCGTTTCTACATAAACCCAGATCACCATCTGAACGTTCTGTGACACGCTCAAATACCTCCATCAACCCATCCCAGCAATATTCTACGTCCTGTGAACGGACCTTCCTTGACAACATCCTATACCCCTTCAAATATTTGTTCATTGCCAATATTCTAGATTCTCTTAGCGGAAACATGGTTTCGGATTCCTGCAAGCTTTGGGTTACAACCTTTTTTGTCAGCCAATCAATACATACCTTATTTTATTTGTGTTTCTGTTTAAAGACACTTAGTTTAATATATATCATTGATTCATTCATACTGAATTCACGGCCAACAGCACTATAACTCGTGCCTGAAGAAAGCTCATCTAACACGTATTTTCTTTCTCTTTTTTTATTGCGGTAACATTGGTTTACAACATTATATAAATTTCAGGTGTGCATCATTATATTTCAATTTCTGTGTAGATTACATCATGTTGACCACCCAAAGACTAATTACAATCCATCACCACACACGTGTGCCTAATCGCCATTTTTGCCCACCTCCCTCCCCCCTTTCCCTCTGGTAACCATCAATCCAATCTCTGTCTCTATGTGATTGTTTGTTTTTGTTTTTATCCTCTACTTTATGAGTGCAATCATACAGTATTTGACTTTCTCCCTCTGACTTATTTCACTTAGCATAATACGCTCAACATCCATCCATGTTGTCACAAATGGCTAGATTTCATCATTTTTCATGGCTGAGTAGTATTCCATTGTGCATATATACCACATTTTCTTCATTCATTTGTCCCTTGGTGGGCACCTAGGTTGCTCCCAAGTCTTGGCTATTGTAACACACATCTTTTCTCTGTAAGGCACGTCATGGTCTCCTTGCATTTAGGAACACTGAACAGCACCTCAGTGCTATGCTCGGGGGGCATTTTAAACTGTGAAATCACCTAGCAAAAGCACAAAAATGCAAATAAAGTGGCACTAAGTTGACCATGAAAAGGACACTTGTTTGCAGGATGAGAGCTGCACCAAGAAAGCAAAGCATTGTTTTCTTCAACCTCAGCTGAGAATGTGCTGTGGACACAAAGAACCAATAAGCATCCTAGAGATGGGAGACATAAGGTGAATTTTACTTAAGCTGGGAAGGCAGTCTTCACCGAGGGAGAGAGCATGCCAGAGAAGCGTGGTTTGCAGCATAGTTACAGACTGTTTCAGAACAAAGAACATACATCATGCATGACAGGCATACATTTTTTCAAAGTTACAAGGAGATATTTTGCTGTGGTTTGGCACGTACACAGCAGATCAACTTGACCCTGGTTTCTGGGAAGAAGAACTTACCTTCAAAAGAGTCCTGGTATTGATGTCAGAGGAAGGAAGGCGTTCATCTTCAAAGAGTGCGTCCTTTGCTTTGGGATAGTGAGACAAAGCAGAGGTACAACGCGTGTTTGTCAGGCTGTAAGTCAGGCTGCTCTGGTTAAAATAAAATTCAGACCAAATCAGGTTTAAACCAGAATAGCATCCTGATACACCATAGCATTTAAAATATTTCTTATATCCATGTACATCAGGCAACTCAAACTTTTCGCCACTCCGTGCATGTTTGTGAATGACCGCCAAAGCCTCCAGATTATTGGTTTTGGGGTATTGGTAGATTTTAGTGAGTAGGTGAATTCGAAAATTTGGAATCCGTGAATAATGAGGATCAACTGAATACGTGGGGGTGAAGGTGAGGGATGTGTCAAGGATGATCATTCCATCATCTCTGGTTTCCACAAAGGGAGACTAAGTTACTGTTTAAAAGCACAGAGGGTGGAGTCCAAAAGATCTGTTTTAGCAATGAAGGATCTTTATCCTTGGGGAGCCTCAGTTTCCTCATCTGGTATGTTGACCTTAAACAAATAGAAAGCCAGTTATTTCTCCAGCAAAAATGGGTTTGTTTGGGATCAGCAAAGAACTCCAATTCAGGATCTGCAACCATGGTCAGCCAAGTGGAGGAGAAACTTTTAGAGAAGGGAAGAGGGAGTTAGGAGGGCTGCTGGAAACAGAGTCCATTGAAAGAACTGAGAATTGAAGTACAATGACTTTTCTTTGAGTTGTGACAGCCAGTCTCTCATTGGCTGAGCTCTTGCCGGGCAAGGAGAGGAAGTCTTTGTTCTTGCTGGGTTCTACCGCATCATAGGGCACGAGAGCTCCCTCTGCTGGCCTCCTGACTCCATTTTAAATGGGATTTCTGTCTACTAACTTTCACAGGTACTAACAGGACCTACTGCTCAGGGCTGTTGCGAAGATTGAGTGAAAGATCGGCATTTAAAGACTATAAACTTCTCAATCAATGGAGAAGAAGCACGACGTAGTAAAGAGCATCGTTTCTGAGGCCAGCCTGCCTGGGTCTGAGTCCCAGCTCAGTCACTTATTCAATCATGTGACTTACCTTTTGGGTGTCTCAGTTTTCCCATCACTCAAATGGGTAGAACAATGGTACTTAACACCAAATCGCTTAAAGACTAAAGGCCAAACCATGAAGTTAATAGAAGATAACAGCAGAGAAAATTTTGTGACTTAGGATGGGGAAGGGTTTTTTAAAACTTCAGAAGGACTAGTCATAAGGTAAAGCTTGTTTAATTTGATTATATCAAAGTCCTTAACTTTGATATAATTTTAATTTCTGCTCAACAAAAGATGATGTGGAAAAAGCAAATCGATGGCTGGAGATACTTGCAATCTGTAATATTGACCTGGGGTTGCTATCTAAAATGTGCAAGGAAACCCTGCACATAAATAAGAAAAATGTTAAAGGATATGAATGGGGGATTTGTAGAGGAGGAACCCCCAAAAGGAATCGTAAAAGATGCACAGACTCCATCAGTTATCTAAGAAATGCAAATACAAGTAACATACCATTTTATTAGATGGGTTAAAATCTTTAAATAACCTAAGTATTGTCAGAGATTCAGAAACACAGGGACCTTAGCACATAGCTGGTGTGAATGTTAATTAGTGCGGTTATTTCGGAAAGTAACTTCGCAGTCCTTGGTGAAATTATGTATATGCACACCTAAGACCCAGTAGTTCTACCACCTGGATGTCTGTCCTAGGGCAGTGATCCTGCAGGTCACAAAGGAGTGAGTACAAGTTGTCCGTCATTGAGCTGTTTGCTGTGCTGGGAATGAGGAAACCTGGGTGCCCACTATTGGGTTCACGGATGACAGGATGTGGCAAAGACCACCACAGAGGACTTTACAGCAGTTAAAAGCAACAGACTAGATGTGCACATAGCAACATGAAGGGAATCTTAAATGTATGGCGCTGCCAATCTCAACGGTAAAAGTTAAAAAGACTGACAATACTAAGTGTTGGTGAAGATGTGGGGCAACTGGAACACTCATACACTGCTGATGGCAATGCAAAATGGCACAACCACTTTAGAAAACATTTGGCAGACACATGTGTGTGGTAATGGCTTGTAATTAGTCTTTGGGTGGTGAACATGATGTCATCTGCACAGAAATTGAAATATAATGATGTACACCTGAGATTTATATAAAGTTATAAACCAATGTTACCGCAATAAAAAAAAATGATAGATTCTAACAAGAAAAAGAAAACATTTGGCAATTTCTTATAAAGTTAAATACATACGTATGATATGATCCAGAAATTCCACTCTTAGGTGTCTGCCCGAGAGAAATGACAACCTATGTCCACACGATGATTTATATGTGAATGTTCACGGCAGCGTTATTTGTAATAGCCAGAAAACTGGAGGCAGCCCAGATATTCAACAGCTGGTGAATGGATAAACAAATTGTGGCATTTGCCTACTGTAGAATACTGCTCAGGAATAAAAAGGAATGAACTACTGATTGATACATGTTGAACTTGGAAGAATCTGAAAAGCATTATGCTAGTGAAAGAAGGCAAACATTTATATGACTTTCTGAAAAAGGCATAACTTTAGCAGCAGGGTGTAGATGAGTGGTTGCCTGGGGCCAGGGTGGGGAGGCGAGCTCTTACAAAAAGAACACATGGCAGGCAGGTTAAGGATGGGGCAAGGTGACAGGGATTGTTCTGTGTTTGATTCATAGTGGTGGTTACATCATTGCACCCAACTTCCAAAATTCATCAAACTGAATGCTTGAAGTGAATGGATTTGCTCTGATGTAAATAATACCTTATTAAAAACGAAAAAAAGCATAGTTCTGAGCTTAAAAAAATTTGAATAGGCTGGGTACCACAATACCACTGACATAAATTAAAAATACATACACACAAAGCAATACACAATTTGTAAGAACACACACTATTAAAAAGATATAATATTGTGGGGGCCGGCCCTGTGGCCAAGTGGTTAAGTTTGTGCACTCTGATTTAGCGGCCCAGGGTTTCACCCGTTGGGATCCTGGGCACCGATGTGGCACCGCTCATCAGGCCATGCGGAGGTGGTGTCCCATATGCCACAACTAGAAGGACCTACAACTAGAATATACAACTATGTACCTGGGGGCTTTGGGGAGAAGAAGAAAAAAAAAAACAGATTGGTGGCAGATGTTAGCTCAGGGTCAATCATAAAAAAAGAGATATACAACATTGTGAATGTACCAAGTGCCACTGAATCGTACACTTTAAATGGTTAATTTTATAATATGTGAATTTCACCTTAATAAAATAAAAAGCTATGGGATAATAAATACAATAGCAAAGGATACACAATAATAAATAGCAAAGGATACACAATAATAACAATAGCAAAGGATACACAATAATAAAATAACAGCAAAAGATACACAATGATAAAGGCATCGCACTGCTTGGCATGCCATGCCGTGGTAGGCATCCCACATATAAAGTGGAGGAAGATGGGTACGGACGTTAGCTCAGGGCCAGTCTTCCTCAGCAAAAAGAGGAGGATTGGCAGCAGATGTTAGCTCAGGGCTAGTCTTCCTCAAAAAAAAAAAAAAAAAGACAATAGCAGAAGAGAATGGGAATAAAGTAAATTAGGAACACAAGAGGGGTCTTATACAGATCACTAATGATAATATGCCACCAACGAATTCAACTCTCCATCTGAAGATTGAGCGTTATCTAAATATAGTAACAAACTTTAAAAAATAACACCTCCTGCAGAGGGCTCTTGGGAGAATTAATTGAGTTACTATGTAAAAAGCACTCGGAACACCTGGTACTGGGTGAGGTGCTTCCTAAGTGGCAGCTGTCATTGGTCTTATTGTTGCTCTTATTGATATAATTGTTATGATGTTCTGTCTCCAAGGACGTAGTGCCAGAGTAAGCAGACTTGGGTGACAGCCCAAATGCTTCCTGTGGAACAGAAAATAATGACCCACCTGAGCTGGAGCTACCAACAACACCTTAATTCAGGAAGGCCAGCCAGGTGGCGAGCTTTCTCATCCCTCCCTCCTCCCTCCTTCTCCAGGAATTTCGCAGCCACCTGCCCTCCTCTTCCTGTTTTTGCACAGGGGAATTATAGTAACAATGGAATCCTGTGCAGGAAGGAATCTGGGAGGCTGGTGGAGGGAGACAGGGAGGTGGAGAAGAAGACTGGGGTAGAGACGAAAGCAGGCTGGAAGAAGAGTCAAAGGGCTAACAATACTTACTACGTTGGGCAGGCGTTGAAAGCCCTTTCATTTCATCCTCCCAGGGCCCCGGTTGGGGAAATGTCAGCTCCCCATTTTACAGAAGTATAAACCTAGACTAAGGGAAATTCGCCAGTGAGTTGAACCCATCCAGAGTGATGGAGGCACATTCCTGTACTTCTCCAAGAACATTCCCAGAGACATCCTCCTCTAGCCTGTAAAGGCCCAAGCCAAACTCAGCCACTGCCCCAGCTGGGTGGCCTTATAGAAGAGACTGGGCTGGACTTTCCGGGAAAAGGGGGGTAAGTGGTTGTGCACTCAATCCCAATGTGTGGGAGTGGTTCCCCGACACCACCAAGCAATTCTCGGACACCAGCCGGGTGTCCTCAAATTCAAACTCAATTCTGACATTATCTACCTGGAGAGGGTATCAGATCCCACAGGTTAGGGGTTCCATCCCACAAGACTGCCCCCTACAACTTCATCTGCCACCTGTGCTTCTGATCAACCTGACACAGATGGGAGCTTCCCACGACCCTCTCCTTGGTGGTCACAGAACTCAGAGAAACATTTCACTTGTTAGATCACCAGTTTATTATAAAAGGATATAACTCAGGAAGGGTCAGATGGAAGAGTGGCACAGGGCCAAGGATGGGGAAGCGGTGCGGAGCTTCCATGCTCTCCGAGGGCGCCACTCTTCGCGGATGTCCACATGTTCACCAACCTGGACACTCTCCAAGCCCCATCCTTTTGGGTTTTACGGAGGCTTCATTACATAGGCAGGATTGATTAAATCTTTGGCCATTGGCAATCCATTTCTAACGCCAGCCCCTCACCCCTTCCTGCTCAGGGGATGGCACTGAAACTCCCAACCTGTCAATCATATGGTTTGTTTCCCTGGCAACCAGCTCCCATCTGGAGGTGGGCTCCAAGTCACCTCATTGACATAACAAAAGACACCTTCGTTGTTCTCTAGTCACTTAGGAAATTCCAAGGGTTTGAGGAGCTCTGTGCCAGAAACGGGGATGAAGAGCGAATATTTATTATTAATCACAGAATCACAGCAGGCAACAGACATACAACCCCAGGTTCCCATTCTAACAGGTTCAGCAGACAGGTTGCGAGAGGGTTGGGGAGGCAGGAGACCCAGGGAAGGCCCCTTGGAGGAGGAGGAGATGAAGGGTAATGTTGCAGCCGCCCCACAGAAACAAAGTGGACGCCCCCATCCGACTGCTGGTTCAGACGTCCAGACTGATGGTGCCATACACGCACCAAAAGGCCCTTCCTGCCTCTGTGGGGTGACCACAGTTGGCGTTGTGAGCCAGTCTAGATATGACCACCACCTCTGGGGTCTGTCTCATCTTGCTTTGTCCTGCTCACTAGCTGGCGTGCATTTTGACAAATAAAAATGGCAAGCAATAGGATATATTGGAGAACGTGAGGAAGCCATTTGACGTGAACCTAATTCAGCCTGATTTACTTTGTTTTTCCCAAAAGGGCCTGACATGGCTGTTGAGCTTGCATTGTAGATCTGCTTTGGAATTTACTATGTCCCAAAGGCAAGAACAAATGGCCTTAAGATAAAGGTGCAATTTCCGCCATGTTGGCATTTCCTTAAGGATAAGCATCTCTCTGTAGGCTAGGAACTGACTGCTGTGCTCACCTGTGATCACCCAGCTCAAGACAACAGACCTGCCACCCCACTGTGTCCACCGAGATAGCAGACCTACTACCTGCTGTGTCCACCCATCGCTGTGCCAATAGAGCAGTCACCTGACTATTGTAAAAGGGGCGTTTCAATCGTATGTGACACATGCATTTTGAGGGTATATAACCACTCTGTACACCCCACCTTCTTTCGTGCCCTTCCCTCCTTGGGGAAGGAAGGCCCCGGGCTATATGGTCCTCACATTTGGCTCAGAATAAACTCACCCCAATTTTCATTCATAGATTGGTCATGGATTATTTGCGCTGACAATTTTGAACTGTACTGCTTGATACTGTGTCTGCTGAGACCTACAGAGCGTCTGTTGTCGAGTTAATCGACCTAAGTCAGAGGTTTCGATAGCCGGCATCCAGGAAGAGGGATGTGGGATGGCAGCCCTTCTTCAAGTGGCCCTGGGTGGTGCGTCTCCAAGCCCGGACCTATCTGTGTGCCTCCCCACTCCCCAGGGGCCAGGGGGTGGGGCTGAAAGTTCCAACCCCCCAATTACATGCTTGGTTTCCATAGCAACTGGCTCCCATGCCTTCCCAAGCCCACACTAGCTTAAACTCTGGCTGGGTTAAAAGGGGCTTGTTACGAATAACAAAAGAT